CTAAGAAACTCATTGACTATTTATACAGAGACACTAATTACAATCAAACAAGGCAGAGGTATGGATACTACCCTTCATTGCTATCTCAACCTGTGTGTGTCAACTTAAGTGTATACTATATTATCAGCCCAGACATTCAAGGTTATGCAAACTTTTGAAGAGAATCATTTTATTATTTTCTTTATTGCTGTGGTTTATTTCATGATTGTGCTATTATTCTGTGAAGCTTAATAGTTTAATTTAAATCACATTACAAATTTTAAAAAACATGTTTTGTCTGATCACTCATGTTTACTTACAAAATGGTCCACATCTTACAAATTCTGCAAGGGGTATGTAAACCTATGAGCACAACTATAAATAAGAGTAGACTTACTTAACATTGGTAAAATAAATAGTGCACAATATAGTCTGATTGAAGAAAGGCTCTAGATAATGCTGTATTATATCTCTGCTTTCATATAAGTACATGTGTTGTTTAAATATTTGATGATATTTTCCTGTTTCTCAGACTTGTAAATGAAGAACGAACGTTAGAGGTGGAGATAGAACCTGGTGTTAGGGATGGGATGGAATATCCCTTTATAGGGGAAGGTACATCTTTTAATTTTTATTCTTTTAACTTTTGACATCTTATTGGAAGTTGTAATTGATGGAATGTGAAAAAAACTGAATGTTTTATTTGTTTCAAATTGATGGAAATAAACTGGGGCTGGAATATTGGACCCTGATTTGTTTATGCTACAAATTGTTACTCTACTTTTTCAAATATACTTGGAACATTTTGTGCCTTTAAAAAAATATTTCCTATAACACTACCAGAACTTAATTTTTTCGTTTCTGCAGAAGATTATGAATCTTCTGTTTGTCATGACATTTGTCCTTTAGTTTTTTATTTTATAAGCTTTTGACAATCCTTACATAATGATTATCAAGGGAATTTGGCTGTGAATTCCTGTGACTCTGGAAACAGAAATTTGTATTTCAGTCTTATCATCCTTATGTTTTTTATCCATGTTCCCTGCAACAATACCTATATTTGTTCTTGTTCCCAGATATTCCATAATCTGTGTGAATTGGCATATTGATTATGGCAAAAAAAAATATTTGTGCTAACCTTAGATTTTTATGCAGACAAAAAGAGGCAGTTTACCAGGTTTTCACATTCAGTCTAACCAGTTGTAACCTTATCTTTTCAGACTTTGTGGCCTGAATAATGTGTACCAATGCTTTTTGAACTAACCATATATATTGAATTTCGTTAAGTCATAAGGACAGAGTTTGAGGAAAAGGTCCCCATCCTGGTAGATCATGTCATTTTGGAAAGCTTAAAGGAACATTGAATTAAGGTTTCAGAATTAGGAGATAGTCTAGTTTTGAACCATTTAAACATACCTAACACATGTTCAAACTTCATCAGGTGAACCCCATGTTGATGGAGAACCAGGTGACTTGCGCTTCCGAATAAAAGTTCTTAAGTAAGTTTCTCTTCTTTACCAAATAATTTACCAATGGTTTTCCTATGTTAACTCATCAGTGAACACACTAAGTGCTGTGCCATTAAAGGCTTTGGTGGGCAGATTGGAGCATTAAAAGTGTTTGCTTCTGGGAAAGAGTAGGTTCCTGAAGCAGATTGAACCTTTCTTAACTATTACCAAAGACCTAAGTGAGTTGAGTTGTTTCTGGCAAAAATATCCGTATTGAGTATCTAAAGATAATTGCAGAGGAAACTCACAAAGAGTTGCTATGAAGATCTAAAGAAAGTTTCTTCTATGCCATTTTATAACAGACCTAGAGATATCTTACACATATCTAAATACTAGTATGTAAAACTAGAATTAATATCACTACAGTGTTAGGGCAAATGCAAATTTAATTCTAATCATGATGCAAAATTACTTTGCATGACTATATTCACTCAACAAATTTCAAAATGTTTTAAATTGATTTCTTCAGAAAATACATAATTCCCAACTTGTCAGTAATTTTAAATTATAATTTTTTTTAATTTAACATATGTGCTGGAAAATGAATGTACTTGCCATGGCAGATAAAGTAAGAAATAGAAAATATTAATCTTCTAATATATTGACTACAGGCATCCAGTCTTTGAAAGAAGAGGAGATGATTTATATACAAATGTGACTATCTCACTTGTGGAAGCTCTTGTTGGATTTGAAATGGATATTGCTCATTTAGATGGACATAAGGTAAGGTAGAAGATTACTTTTGTCTGAAAATATTTTCAAAGAATCCTTTTTACTGTTTCCATAATACATGTTTTGGCACTAAAATACACTATTGACATTGTGATTCTGATTTGTAAAAGGCTCCCTATTTAAAAATGTTAATCCTATTGAAATCTCCAACATATTTCATTTGTTAGGTCCATATTGCCCGGGATAAAATCACAAAACCTGGAGCCAAGCTGTGGAAGAAGGGAGAAGGTCTTCCAAACTTCGATAACAATAACATCAAAGGCTCTCTAATAATTACATTTGATATTGATTTTCCAAAAGAACAATTGACTGGGGAACAGCGAGAAGGTGTGTATAGTAGTACCATAATGATAATTCAGGAAGAACATTGACTTAATAAGTTCATTTCCTTGGTTGTCAACATACTAATGCTCAGAATATGGGGAAAAAACATGAGTTTGAACTTTTAAGTATATGACAGTAGGTATAACTGAGACCCACTGAGATGATTGCTAAGATGGGAATGTAGGAATCAGAGGATACAATCTGTTCAAAAAGAACAGAAATAATATAAAGTGCGGGAAGGAGGAGTTGTATCCATGCCTGCTCAGCAAACCAATGAGCCAAGAAAACAACCAACAGTACTGTTGTCGGTCTTGATTGTTACCTGCTAAGCAGAGAAGATGGGAATAATGCTTTCCTAAAGCAAACTGCCATTTTTTTTAAGGAGGCATAAATTATAAGTGGTCTTATAATTGTAATTAAATAAATAAATAGCTAGCAGCAATGTGGAACTTTAATTACCTTGACATCTTCTGGCAGAGAAATTTGTGGAAAAATTTCTGACATTCCTTACAATTTTCTAATTTAAGGAATGGAGAAAAGCATCAAAGAGAACATCTGATATCCATGTTTTGATACTAACCAATTAAGAAGATTGAGTTGATGAAGTAGAAGCAGAAGGAAGATTGTGGGGAAGTTAACATGGTGGCTATTTTTGTGGTTCTTAGCATAAAGAAACATTTAAAAGCTGAGTGTAATCAAATACAAATCTGGATATCAAGAAAGCAGGTTTTAATAAATCAGCAACAACAAATAGTATTCCATGTCAGAAGCTAATAAGAAAAGGACCTCGTTCTGCAAACAATTTCAACAAAGAAAAAAATGGAAAACAGTAGAAGATAAAGTGGCTACACAAAAAGCTTAGTGGAGATCTGAAAACCAGAATTGACACAGAAGTAGAGAGAGGAGGAGATCACCAAGAAAAAGTACTAAGTGATTTCCAAACTCATCCCTAAGTTTTGATCTAGGACTAAGAACCACAAAAATAACCATGTTTTGAAATAAAGTAGATTTATTGAATTATATAGCCCCATAGCAGCATATACTTTTAAAACCAGTTTGTTATAGCATATTAAAAGGGCTGTGCTGGGATCTCTTATAGAATACATTTTAGAAGATATAAATGGCAACCAAGAAAGCATCCATTATCATAAATTTGAAATACTGCTCATTATAGAACAAAATAGCTTGACTGAAAAGTAGTTGGAATCTTTATCAGGAGGGCACCTGGCTTGTTCACATTCTATTTTAGCTAATTGTCAAGACGATTAATTGTCCCCTTTTGAAAAATAATTAGACATATATCATTATGGGAGTTTTATGCTGGTTGAGAATTTGGAATAATGATCCTTGTTTTCCCTTAATATGTTAGCAGTCTTGAATGTTTTGTATTGTGATAGTTATTTTATTATTTTGCAGGTCTCAAACAATTGCTAAAACAAGCATCGGTTCAGAAGGTGTATAATGGACTGCAGGGTTATTGAAACTGAGACAAATGGACTTACTTGTGGATGAATGAAATAAGTACTGTAAACTGTGGTCTTTTCTGCTGGTCGTTGTAGAACAAAAGCAGAGGGTGTTGGAGTAACCTCTGAAACCTCTTTTTTTACAATAGCAAGGGTAATTCTGGGATGGATCAGAAGACAACAAATGACATTTTCTTATTCTGGATACAACTGGTGCTCTATTTGGAGCAGTTAGGCTCCAGCAACTGAGAGAGAAAGGAGTTTTTAACAAAATTACCACACTGAAATTCCGTTTTAAAATATATTTTGATGTTACTTTTCTTGCCCCTCTTAATGAGTTTTCATAATTTTTTCATGGTTCCTTTATCTTGTATTACCTTGGTTTTGAGATGTTCTTTGGCCCATATTTGAAGGTATTGGTTAAAAAATATTTCTCCAATATCTTGATTTGTCATCTTGCAGTTACACCTATCTCTATCCTTACTCAGATTGGAGGCGTGAGCATATAACTGCTACCTCTCCAAATTGTTGACCTCTCTTCTGTTAAACTACCAGATGTTTCCTGTTATTTACACCATGGAAATGTGTGTGTGTTAGGTCTTGCTACCATCCAGAGGGAGTCTTACTTTTCTTCTCTCAGCACTACTAAAATATGACACAAATATGAAAGACTGGTAAGCTTGTTGTGCATCTCTGACATTGATAGCAGTACTTTTAGATAGCTTGTAGGGTTGACAGCACTGTTGTAATAACTATAATGAATATTTGTAATTTCATAAACAGGCAATCCATCAAGTAAAGACCGTGGAATCTCTTAGGTGGAACAATTAACCTCAACATTTGGACAGAGGAGAATGTTTGGGATGGCAAAGAGAAGACTTCTCAATTATTCTAAACCAGTCTAGTGCTTTCTTCTTCAGCTTCCATGCTCCCTATTAGCACCTTGCTGTGCTGACTAGGGATAATGGGATTTGCAAGAAGAAAATGTGCTACCTTGCCTTTGTTCACTTTTAGGTAGTAGCTGCTGTTTTTTGAACAGAGCTGTATATAGATATTTTCTCCTAATTTGCAATTCAAGAAAATTCAGTTATAGCATTTTATGTAACTAGATAAATAAGGATACTGGATTATAATTTTGTGAGAACCTTGGGGCCAATTCATGATTTAAGTAACGTGTTTGCAGAAGTGCAAAGTATGAAATCTGAGTATTTGGGGTTTCCCAGATATTTTCAAATTTCCCATTTTGTACAATGTATGGTACTTATTTCTGAAAATATTGGCATATTTTCAGTACAGATTACAAATACCCTGCAACTGCTCAACAAGGCTATAGGACCATTGTTTCATATACACCAGGTATGGTTAGAAAGGCACATAGTTTCTATTTTTCCCAGTCTCTTGGCTAATGTGCATACCCATAACTATCTCAAATGGAATTTTGTGTGTTTTGCAATATCATATTTGTTTAGTGAAAAGTTGGCTGCAATTTCTGACCCTAGATCAGCCTCTTTTTCTCAAGAATGACCTAGGAGTAAAATAACGTTTATGTTCTCAGTTGAAAATGAAATTGCTTTCTTCAATCTGAAATATCAGCTCATTGATATTTACCAGCAGCAATGTATAGTAATGCTGATGGAAGAAGCCACTATGTGAAGAGAGAAGTAGAGAAAGGCCAGCATTGAAATAAATACCCACAAACTGTGCATAAGTTGGAATAACTTTATTAAAAATATCCAGCCAGTTCTGTCATCCTTCCTTCTGTTTAGGAAGTATATTCTAGGTTCTACAAATGGAAGAAAACTTAAGGAGAAATAAAGGAGGTTCAAAATTTTTTTTTTTTTTTACAACTGTTGCCATCTCATAACTGAAAGCCCCAAGTCTACATTCTGCTGAACGTGATTAAGAGTAGAACCCTTAAATAATTGAGCACTTTTTGGAGGATCTTTAGAGCACTTAGAAATGATGAACAGGGAGCTGTTTCACAACTGTTGGCCTTCTGCCCAGTGTTACAAGGATAAAATGCATGGAATTATTATCTAATGTTTTCTTGGTAAGCACTGTTGTCCTAAATGTCCAGAAAATAGTGGGATCCTAATTTCTAGTAAAATTCTGAAGTGATTCTGTAAAAACTTGAGAGAAACATTATTTCTAGCTTGACCCAATTTAATTTAAAATATACATCTGCTAATTCTGAATGCGCTAAAAGTTCCACATGCTTATATGATTCCTCACATAACTGGATTTATCATCATAAATTGTGGACTGTCGAACTACAGGATTGAAAGGGGAGGCATGTATTGGAAGTATAGGAAGAGCCACCCAAAATTCACTGAAGTGTATTATGTTGCCATCAGTATATTTCCTTTGCCAAAACTCTACAACTTGATTTGACTAGGGGTGCCTAAAATTCTTCATACAACTGTAATTCTATCAGGGTACTTCAAAAAAGATTGTAGAAAGAAACAAGAAATTCAGACATTCTAGTTTTTTTATACTGTATTTCCCCTACTGATAAGGGAATAGAAGAAAAGGCAAATCTGATTGTTAAATATCTCCAAAAAATGGGGGTATACTACAGTGCAATTTAAAACAATGCCCATAGAACATTATGAAATAAAACATAATGAAAATAAACAGATATATACTGACACAGCACGATAAAATGCAATGCTATATAAAAACTGCCATATTGGATTGAGTTGGGTTGAAAGTGACTGGCTTAGAGTGACTGAATGAGCTCTGTGGTTAGGTGGGAACTTGAGTCTGGGCCTCCTAGTCCCAAACCACCTATTACACCAGCTGAAGTTTCTGGGCTGTCTTTAAAGGAGAGAAGATGACCATTTGTTCAGTATGTGTTTCTGTATTTCTCATAACGTTGATCTGCTTAGAACTTGCCTTCCAGGTGGTCAGAGGTGAATAGTACAAGCTGGTTGTATAAACTCTGGTCTATTCCCCACACATGTACGAGTCAGCTGCATCTTTTTCTTCCAGTGGGCTCCATTGAGCTCACTAGAAAGCTGATGGTTCATTTCTCTATCAGTGCTTGTGCTATCTCTTCCCACCTGTGCACAAGAACAGGCAAACAGCTAATCCCATTAGAGCAAGGGCACCGATACTGATGCCTATCACCAGTGGAGTGTGCGGATGTCCTTTATGTTTCCCTGTAAGAGAAAAGTGAAGAGTTAGGCCTGTTTTTTAGACCGGGGGGGGGGGGGGGGGGGGTGGGTTGTTTGTTGTTTTGTGGTTGATGATGGGGGGAGGGACAACATGTTGAAATGACTGCCCATACAGCTGATGTCATTTCAAATAATTTCTCAATAGGATGTCATTTGCAGGGAAGAAAATACTAAAAGCAAATGCCTGGTGATGATTTATAGACATACATTTTCTTTCCGAGACATCACTGTATCCTGAAAGACAAGCAGACAACCACACATGCAATATTTATTCTGCACAAAACCTCACACTAAGAGCTGCGTCACAGACCCTATTCTGCCCCTCCTCACATCCCCTTATGAAATTATTGGGTATTTTATTTTCCTGTTTCATTATGCATTTCTAAGTTTATGTTCCCTTTATTAAGGTTGTTTTTTTTTTTAAGAAAAATCAAAATAGTGCAGAATTTTGCTCTCCAATGTCATTGGGATGACAGCACTACTTTTATTGTATATCCTTTCATCTTAGAATTAGTGGGTAAGAAGAATTGACTGAGTCAGGACAATTCATCAGAGTATCTAACTAGCCAAGTGCTTCTCAAACTATCAGTTGTTTCACATACCAGTCATAGCTCTGTTGTTGGTAGCATGTGTCCTTACAAAGTTGACACATGTTTCTTGTAGGAAGAACTGTAGATTGGTGGTTGTCTCTGAGAATTGATTCAGCTTATTACTGGTAAAGTTGGCCAAAGAAGTGTTAGCTAAATCTTCCCAGCTATTACTATTTGTGTGAAATTTCAGGAAATCAGTCCCATTGAGCAAAATCTTGAAGAAGCTTCTGGTGCCATTTTCAGAGACTTGGCACCCATTTGTGCAATATATGGATAGCGGATCTGCAATCAAAATGTATGTTAGTAAAATATGCACTAAATTTTTATTTATTTGAACATTTCACACGAAGTAATGGTTTGGACATTTCATGCAGTATAATAGAACAAATCTGGTTCTGCCATTAAACAAATACACTGAGACTGGCAAGTATTCTTGTACAATATGCATGTTTTCAATTATTTGTTATATTTTTACACACACATAATTTTTTATTACATTTTTAAAGGAGTAAAAACAATACAAATTTTAAAAGAAACAAGAAAGTAAAAGTAATAAGTGAAAAAAGTGCAAAGAGAAAAAAAAGAAAAGAAAAAGTTACAAAGCAGCTTCCAATCTTCTATTTTTACTTCACTTTTAAAAGCATAGTCTTAAATTTTGTAGACATCTAGTAGATAGAGTAACTCCTTATTTTTCCTGCCAGTGCTATGAATCATGGAGTTGGAAGGAACTTTAGAAGTTACCTAGTCCATCACCTTCCTCATTGTAGCACCCATTAGAGCATCTCTGACAAATGATCATTCAACTTTTATATGGAGGCCTCTAGCAAAGGAGAACTCACATGTGGCAACCTGTTCATCTGTCTGACAGTTCATACAATCAGGAGGTTCCTCCTGATTTCTAGCCTGAATTTACTTCCTTGTAGTTCTAACTCACTGGGTCTGATCCTGCCCTCTGGAACAGTAGAGAATACATCCACTTTTATCTGATAATCCTTCAATTTTTTAAAGATTACTATCATCTCCCCTTAGTTGGTTCTTCTATAGGCTAAACATACCCAAATCCTTTAACCATTCCTCATAGGGCTTGGCTTCCAGACCCTTTACCATTTTAGAAGCCATCCTCTAAACTAGCTCCAATTTGTCACTGTCCTTTTTGAACTTTGGGGCCCAGAACCAGATTCAGTATTCAAAGCTGGACTATGGCCCAGATCTTTTTCATATGGACTACTGCCAAGCAGTATCCCCCATATTATACTTGTACCTTTTCTTTTTCCTACCCATATACAGAACTTTACATTCCTGTTTAATTCTATTCTGTTTATTTCAATGTACTGTTCAAGCCTGGATCTTCTGTCCCCCTTAAAGTATTAGCCACCCCTTCCTCCTTTTTGTTATCTGCAAATTTTATAAGTGTCACCTCAACTCCATCACCCAAGACAATGATAAAAAGTTGAACGGCATAGTACCTAGGACATAGCCCTTTGACACTCCACTCCCTACTTCCCTCAAGCTGCTATGGAGCCATAACTAGTACTCTTCCATCAAAGTTCACCTAACTATAGTGTGAGCTAGGCCCTATTTTATCATTTTATGGAGAACACCTTGAGAAACTCTCAAAGTCTTTGCTGAGTTCCAGGTGCAGCATGGCTACAGCATTCTCTTAATCTAACCTTCTAACTCTGTCTAAGGAAACAACGTTAGCCTGTCACAATTTGTTTGCAACAAACCCATGTCAGCTCCTGTTAGACATAGCATGCCTATCCAATGCTCACAAACATGTTTATCAATTCCATATCTTTGATGGAATAATTCAATTTATTCCCACTCTGAATAGGAGACAATCCCTTTCAGATTAACACCTGAACTAG